GAAAGACTTGGCCCCAACTTCGCTCTTCAACCAACAGGTCCCCCCATTGTAGTCTGTCCAGACAAACAGGTTACACCCAGCAGTGGCTTTGCAGTCAGAGCAGCAAAATTCAGCTGACGACTGAGACGTTGAAGCAATGTCGTTTCCAAAGTAGTCGACGTTGTCTTCAATACCGCTGCACACGGGTGTGATCGACGGGGTGGGTGCAGGAGTAGGGGCTGGGGTAGTCACCACAATCGAAGCCTTGGCTCCAGCGACGAAAGACTTGGCCCCAACTTCGCTCTTCAACCAACAGGTCCCCCCATTGTAGTCTGTCCAGACAAACAGGTTACACCCAGCAGTGGCTTTGCAGTCAGAGCAGCAAAATTCAGCAGACGACTGAGACGTTGAAGCAATGTCGTTTCCAAAGTAGTCGACGTTGTCTTCAATACCGCTGCACACGGGTGTGATCGACGGGGTGGGTGCAGGAGTAGGGGCTGGGGTAGTCACCACAATCGAAGCCTTGGCTCCAGCGACGAAAGACTTGGCCCCAACTTCGCTCTTCAACCAACAGGTCCCCCCATTGTAGTCTGTCCAGACAAATAGCCTACACCCAGCAGTGGCTTTGCAGTCAGAGCAGCAGAATTCAGCAGACGACTGAGACGTTGAATCAATGTCGTGCCCGAAGTAGTCGACGTTGTCTTCGATACCGCTGCATACGGGTGTGATCGTCGTTGTCGGTACAGGGGTAGGTGCGGGGGTAGGTGCAGGAGTAGGTGCAGGAGTTGGTGCTGGAGTAGGGGCAGGGGTTGGTGCAGGAGTAGGGGCTGGAGTTGGTGCAGGAGTTGGTGCGGGGGTAGGTGCAGGAGTTGGTGCAGGAGTAGAGGCTGGAGTTGGTGCAGGAGTAGGTGCGGGGGTAGGGGCTGGAGTTGGTGCAGGAGTAGGTGCGGGGGTAGGTGCAGGAGTAGGTGCAGGAGTTGGTGCTGGAGTAGGGGCAGGGGTTGGTGCAGGAGTAGGGGCTGGAGTTGGTGCAGGAGTTGGTGCGGGGGTAGGTGCAGGAGTTGGTGCAGGAGTAGAGGCTGGAGTTGGTGCAGGAGTAGGTGCGGGGGTAGGGGCTGGAGTTGGTGCAGGAGTAGGTGCGGGGGTAGGTGCAGGAGTAGGTGCAGGAGTAGGTGCGGGGGTAGGTGCAGGAGTAGGTGCAGGAGT